TAAAATGTTGTATGTCTGTTAATGTTTCCCTCCTTTTATCTTTAAAATAAAAAATTAAAAATTAAAAAATAAAATAAAATTAAAAAAAAAAAGATCACACTTGTGGTCTTTAATCTGTCACTTTGGGATACAGGTGATCGAGACAACGTAATCATTATTATCTCTGCCTGAGGCAGGGTTATTTTGGGAGTCGCTTGTGCTAATGCTACATTCTAGGCTTTATTGAAAATGAAGCTATGGAAAAATTGCAATAACTTGATCTTAGACCTCAAAGTTAGAGGTGTTAGCTATTCATTAAGAAAAGAAATCCACAGCATTGTATATTTTGTTATTTTAGAACATTAAAATGTCAGAAATTTGTTTCAAACTACATTAATGTTTTTCTGCATATACTAATGAAATTTTTATTGAAAAAAGGTAAAACAGAAAGTCATAACAAAATAATAGGAGAATAACAATACTTAATATATTGCATAATGTCATCTTCAAAGTTTAGAGCCCACAGCAATGTGGAGGTAATGTATTTAAATTTAAAACTCTCATTTCACACATGTTTGAAATTAAATGGCTGTTCCTTTCACCCCTGTTTGGTAGATTATTGCAAATCACTTGTCATTTTCTTTGGAATAATTTTTTCTCCTTGTTCCTCAGCCCTAAAATGCAGGTAAATGAACAACTGAGAAAACTTTCACAAGCAGTTAAACTGCTAAAAGGTTTTATCTCCTTTCTAATTTTATATTATCTCTCTCTAACTATAGTGTCTTTCTAATGCATTTCTTGAGTTCAAAGAGTTCTCAGATCAGAAGTAAAGTAGTATTCTAGGTAGGTCACTGAAAACAAGCTCCATATCACATAATGAGAAATGTTTTGAGTCCCATACTTAGAATCTGGAATGGAGAATAAAGTTGTGACACTGTAATGACAATTCCACAGAACAGCAGGGGACAAAAAGAGCTGCTGTAGTATTTTTGTTATTCCATCTCTGCATTCTGGAGGAAACTGGCCAAACAACCTGTTTTTCAGTGAGTTCTTAGCAGGATTCAAAATGTACATGGGTCTATAATTTTAATTTTTATTGAATTATGTTGTTTTTGCTGTTTAGAACGCCAGAAACTTTCAAGAGCTATGTGGCAGTCTTGGTAGTAGATGAGAAAACGGGTTTTTGTCTCATTTCCCCGTTTATCTACCTCACTGTGCTTCAACCAAAAGGCGCATTACTGTCACTGTAATATACACCACAGATATAGTCAGCTTCGTCCTCAGGCTGCATGTTGGTGATGGTTAAGTAGCGGTCAGCCCCAGAGCTGGAGCCTGTGAATCGATCAGGGATGTCGTCCCCCTTCTCGTGGTTTCCATCAAACTCAACAGACATCACGTAACCAGGGGACCTCCCTGACCGCTGCTGATACCATTCAATGCTGTAGTCGCTGTGCTCGCTACTCAAAGTGCAGGTGAGCTTGACCGAGGCTCCCAGAGAAGCAGAAGCAGAGGGCAGCTGTGTCAGCACAGGCTGGCAGAAGGACCCTGAAAACACAGACATGCATTATGGCCTGGAGAAAGGAGCAGAGGAGAAGACAGTTCTGGTACTAATTTAAGAGACAGTTGCACTGAGCTGGGGACCAGAATGATGAAGACCTTGCTGACCTGCGCAGTAAAGGAGAAGGGTGAGGAAGAAAAAAAGGTTCTGGGCCATGATGAAGACACCACTAAGTTCTGGTGATGAAGCCATGCTGGTGCAGGTTCTCTTATCCTACGCTCAAGTCCCAGAAGGGTAACGATGCCCTACATGCAAATTTATTCTTCTCCAAGCAGTAAATTCCACGCATGCGCCTGTGGTGACACTGACATCTGCTGTCATTTTGGGAGAGGTGGGCCTTGCAGAGCCTAGTCTGAGGCTTCTCAGGAGCAGAAAGAGGCTTCTATATTCAGTGAGCCCTGGGCAGACACCAGGATACAAGTGCCTGGTTTTCTTGCTCAGAGGCCTATGGATCCCACAGCTACATCCCAACATTGTGCAATGTCTCCCAGGCACAAGTTCTTTCTGTCTAGAGCAGGTGGCAGGTGATCATGCACCTGCTTCCACCAAGATCTTGTCCACTCCCTGCCTTGTGCCGGAGAGCAAACCACAGCCACTTCTCAGGAGAATTCTGCTACCTTGTTTAATTTTCTGTTCGAGATTCCTTGGTGAGAACAAAGTACACAACTCATCTAAACTAATAAGAAGGCCTGGTTTTTCTCATGTACAAACTTAACATGAAAGAAAATATACATTACTTGAGCTTATGGATAGGTCAGCCATGAACCCACAGTGCAGGTTGTTCTCCAAGCCAGGTTTCTCTTTCCCTGTTTGATTCCTCACAATGTTAGACAAGTAGGGGCATATTAGTAAGTGTTTGGGAGAATAAATGAGAACATTATGTGAAACACTGTATATGTTATAAATGAGAAAATCCTAGAAAATAGAAAGATGAGACACAAATGGAATTATAGAAGAAATAACTGGATCTGGGGTTCCTTCTGAAGCAAGCCATTGGAGTAGTTTAAAACAGAAGAGGAGATATATAGCTTTAAGACTGTAGAAAAACATCTTAGAAACTGTCTCTGCCTTTTCTAATGTAAAGACCTTAGAATTAACAGAGGAGGTGATATGGAGGAAGGTGACAGGACAAAGAAAAGCCCAAGAACCACAGAAGGAGCATCAGCTTTCCAAATGTACGAGAAACCAGTGCAGAGATTGTATAAGTGCTGGCCAGCTCGGGTAAAAGGGAGGTGTGTGTGTGTGTGTGTTCATTCCTTTCTGTATGTGCTTTTTAAAGAAAATAGACCAACTTTAAACTTTTCACATGTCACATGTGGTGGGGTCCCTCCATGAAATTATGGATTTAAAAAAAAATCAGAAATCTTACTTATCTCTTTGACAGTTGTCTCTTTGGTTTCTGTGGGATAATGACTTCTGATTTTTTTAAGCTATTACCTGGAATTGGTGGATTTACATTGCTTGGGGAAGGGGACATTTAGAAAGGCAGAATCTCAAGTTCCATCCCAGAATAGTGACTCAGAATCCGTGTTGCTAGATAATCAGAGTAAATGCATCTTAAACTCAAGGAAGCACTGGTTTAACATAGGCACAGGGATTCCACTGTGGTTTTAGTCATGTATTAGTCCTCATTTCTCTATTTTGTATCCTACCAATGAGTACAGCAAACCTTGATTCCAATTTTGTACATTGTTAATCTGGCTTAATATACACAGGAGTTCATATTCCAAGTGACGAGTATCTCTTCAGAATGCACAAAATTTACAAAACTATCCAAAGATTTTTTTTAATAGCAACACGATCTTCATATATTTACCTGTTGACCTCTCGATTCCAGTAAGACACTGGAATTATGTAAAAGCTATGATTTCACAATAATAGAAATAATCTTATTAATATTAAAGGAGTGATAATATATTTGAGTGTTTAAAGAAAAAGCAGTTTCTTATTTTAATTTATGATCATACATTTAGATAAATTATAGGTCAAGATGAGAAATACATTGAGTCCTTGGAATATTAGTTTCCTGGGACTACCATAAGAAGGTGCCATAAATTATGTGGTTAATTATAACAGAAATGTAGTGCTCATTCCCAGGCATGGAAAGTACCAGCCAAAATCTACACACAGTGACACATCCGTCACCCTATGACACCTCTAAGAAAATATTTCCTTCATCTACCTGAATCCCAGTTGTTTGTGGATCATCTTTGGTGATCTTTGGCCTGAGGCTTTATAACTCCAATTTCCACTTCCATCTTCTCTTGACATTCCTTCTGTTTTGTTATAGATTTTCTGCCTTTTTAATTAGTACATGCATGTGATACAGAAAGAGTATATTCATTAGGAGAAGTTGATACATGTATCTATCACATCTAAATCTTTTTATTTCTCTTTGGCCTCACCTTACTTCCTTGTCCCTCCTTCCCTGGGTGCCCTTGCCTTCTCCAAAAGGTCTACCTCCCTGTTTCCTATCATCTGTTTTTTATTTTATTCTTTAAATTACTTATACTTTGGATTTTCCATATAAGAGAAATGATGCCCTCTTTAACTTTATTTGCACGGCTTATTTCACTTAGCACTGTGGTCTCATGCATGCTTCCTTATGTACACACTCAGCATAATGACCCAGGAGACGTCCTTACTCCAGCACGGGTTCATCTTATTTAAAGGTATCTGAACAAACACAACTTTTTAATGAGGTCATAGTTTGTGTACTGCAGAATCAGCAAATTGGGATAAAATTAGAAAAGAAGAATTCTTTCCAAAATTTTAATTTTGAAATATTTTCATAATTGGTAAGCAAGGGAGTTGTATGCAATACAATTAAACCTAATGAAAACATACTTCATAGATAGTAACAATAGAAATTTTCTTTATTTTGCTCCTAGATGAATCCCAAAACATCAGTGAAGATGCTTTCCTCTTGAGGAAATGTGTTGAGTTCTGATTCCTGTTACTGTACTGCACTGTTACTGTTCTCTTGGCAAAGTATATTAACTGAATTCTAACTTTGGGGTGTGTAATACTTCAAAGAATTCTCAGATATGTTTAACCTTAGCTCTCAAGCAGGAGCAGATATCAAGGCAGTTCTCTTTAGCTTTCTCTGTATGGATAGCCATCTGTAGGCTGCTGGAGAGCTCAGGGTGTGATTGTGCATTTCCAATATGACATGCTCCTATTTGTAACCAGCCTCCTGAAAAGCATGTTTACATGTTGGTTCCCCATCTGGGGCTCACTGGGTTGACCATCACTCTATTATCTCAGGCAGTAGTATTCAGCCATAGCTTCAGGCTGGTCTGCTGAAATGGACAGGCCAACTTTGTCTCTAAAGTAGAATCCTGAGCACCTAACTGGTTACAGGGGAACTTTCTGTTTGTATCGTAAACCAGTGTCCTGAGACTGACCAGTTTTCTGCTGGCACTAGTATGGAAAGGCAGCACCAGTGATTATAAGAAAGCAGAAGCTGCAGATGAGAGTGACCATCCCTCCTGAAGATAGATAGGGTCAGTGTGGGATCTAAGGTCCCTACAGCCTGAGATGAATCCTGAAATGAAAACAAATACATTAGGAACGAGAAAGGACACAAGGGTTGCTTCAAAGCAGGTCTCTGAAGTATTCATTAAGGCAGAGAGTAAGGAGAAAAAGAAGAGAGTTGTCTAAGCCATACTGCGGGCTTTCCATGCATTCTCAGGGTGCCTGGGTGATGCTGGACTATACTCCTCCTCAGCTGCTCGTGTAGAGTATGTGTTTGCATTCTGCATTATGCAAACCTGAGCCACTGACAAACATGAGCTGCATCAACTGTTTCTCTGTGATCACTCCAGGGTGCAGATGCTCCATCAGAGAGGAGCATGAGTACTGACTTTGCCTTATGGGAGGAAGCACCTGCTGTGACCTCTAACTCAGGCCAGTGAGCACAGCCCAAGGTATTAACTGTGAACCATGTCAGTCTGTTCCACCCTTGTCAGCCTCTGAGAAGAACCACAGCACCACCTGCTGTGTTGTGCTACCGATCTTACTTCTTTCTCTGTGTCAAATATCTTCTCTAATATCTGAATGTTTGTTTCCCTGTTTTCTGTCATTGAGTCCCACAGAGTTTCATTCTACTTTTATTTATTATACTTTCCAGCTCTATAATTTATATTTTCTTAGCTTTTAAGATTTCTATTTATTTTCTGAGATTTGCCCATTTTCCATTTGGTTCAAGGATATGTGAAATTGGTAATCAATGGAAATTAATGATTGTCCCTTTAAAAAATTTATCACATAATTTTAGCAATACTTTATTTCAGAGTTTTATTTTAATTTTATTTATTATATTTTAGCTCTATAATTTATTTTTTAAATTTTTTTATTTAAAGAGAGTAGTGAATGAGAAACAAACAAACAAAATTTAGAACAGTAGTATCATACCAGTATCACAAACATAAACAAATCAAAGCAAGAACATTCAAAGTGATACAGGTGCTCTACTGTCCTGTATTTCCTTGCTGAAAGAAACTGTCAGTGAGGCATTGGTTGATTAGCTTTGTATGTCTATATGTGTTTTCATGAGAAACTACATTGAAGATATCAATATGTAATACAACAAGCATTGTTAATTCCCTACCACTCTGTTTGTAACTCTGTAATGTCTGTACTGATCCTTTGCTATTTTGTAAAACGTTGTCGATCTGTTAGTATTTTCCTCCTTTTATTTCTAAAATAAAATAAAAAAAAACAAAGTGATACAGGGTCTCAAGACAAAATAATACGAATCAACAGTGGTTGTTATATTACATATCGCTATCCTCAACTACATTGCTCAGATTACCAGATATAAGAATGAAAGATTGCTCAAACCATTAAAGAGAATAAGAAAATAATTCTTTGATAAAACATTAGAGATAATGCAGAGTTTCACTAGACAAGATAGTAGGAGTTCACCATTGTAATTCCACTGCATATTGGTACCTTCAAATCAGTTGCTCAGACCACCAGACACAAGCATGCAAAGTCAATCAGAACATAAAAAATTGTAAGCATTAACTGTTCATTTCCATACACCATCAGATTCTTGAGGACCCACTGTTGCATCAGAGTTCCCCAGTTTCTCTTG